GACATGATTGTATATTTAGAAAACCCCATCATCTCAGCCCCAAATCTCCTTAAGCTGATAAACAACTTCAGTAAAGTCTCAGGATACAAAATCCATGGGCAAAAATCACAAGCATTCCTATACACCAATAACAGACAAACAGAGAGTCAAATCATGAATGAACTCCCATTCACAATTGCTCCAAATAGAATAAAATACCTAGGAATCCAACTTACAAGGGACGTGAAGGACCTCTTCAAGAACTACAAACCACTGCTCAGTGAAATAAAAGAGTACACAAACAAATGGAAGAACATACCATGCTCATGGATAGGAAGAATTAATATCATGAAAATGGCCATACTGTCCAAGGTAATTTATAGATTCAATGTCATCCCCATCAAGTTACCAATGATTTTCTTCACAGAATTGGAAAAAACTACTTTAAAGTTCATATGGAACCAGAAAAGAGCCCACACTGCCAAGACAATTCTAAGCCAAAAGAACAAATCTGGAGGCATCATGCTACCTGACTTCAAACTATACTATAAGGCTACAGTAACCAAAACAGCATGGTACTGGTACCAAAACAGAGATATAGACCAATGGAACAGAACACAGCCCTCAGAAATAATACCACACATCTACAACCATCCGATATTTGACAAACCTGACAAAAGCAAGAAATGGGGAAAGGATTCCCTATTTAACAAATGGTGCTGGGAAAACTGGCTAGCCATATGTAGAAAGCTGAAACTGGATCCCTTCCTTACACTTTATACAAAAATTAATTCAAGATGGATTAGGGACTTAAATGTTAGACCTAAAACCATAAAAACCCTAGAAGAAAACCTAGGCAATTCCATTCAAGACATAGGCATGGGCAAGGACTTCATGACTAAAACCCAAAAGCAATGGCAACAAAAGCCAAAATAGACAAATGGGATCTAATTAAACTAAAGAGCTTCTGCTCAGCAAAAGAAACTACCATCAGAGTGAACAGGCAACCTATAGAATGGGAGAGAAAATTTTTACAATCTACCCATCTGACAAAAGGGATAATATCCAGAATCTACAAAGAACTTACATAAATTTACAAGAAAAAAATCAAACAACCCCATCAAAAAGTGGGCGAAGGATATGAAAAGACACTTCTTAAAAGAAGACATGTATGCAGCCAACAGACACATGAAAAAATGCTCATCATCACTGGCCATCAGAGAAATGCAAATCAAAACCACAATGAGATACCATCTCACACCAGTTAGAATGGCAATCATTAAAAAGTCGGGAAACAACAGGTGCTGGAGAGGATGTGGAGAAATAGGAACATTTTTACACTGTTGGTGGGACTGTAAAGTAGTTCAACCATTGTGGAAGACAGTGTGGCGATTCCTCAAGGATCTAGAACTAGAAATACCATTTGACCCAGCCATCCCATTACTGGGTATATACCCAAAGGATTATAAATCATGCTGCTATAAAGACACATGCACATGTATGTTTATTGTGGCATTATGCACAATAACAAAGACCTGGAACCAACCCAAATGTCCATCAATGATAGACTGGATCAAGAAAATGTGGCACGTATACACCATGGAATACTATGCAGCCATAAAAAAGGATGCGTTCATGTTCTTTGTAGGGACATGGATGCAGCTGGAAACCATCATTCTCAGCAAACTATTGCAAGGACAGAAAACCAAACACCGTGTGTTCTCACTCATAGGTGGGAATTGAGCAATGAGAACACTTGGACACACGATGTGGGGAGCAGGGAGGGATAGCATTAGGAGATACACACCTAATGTAAATGATGAGTTGATGGGTGCAGCACACCCCCATGGCACATGTATACATATGTAACAAACCTGCAAATTGTGCACATGTACCCTGGAACTTAAAGTATAATTAAAAAAAGAAAAAGAAAATCATGTAATATATTTATTTTTATACATGCATACATGTGTATACCATGCAATCTTTTATAAAAGTCATAAAATTATTTCAAGTCTATATTATAACTATGTTAAATTATATATATATATAAAGACTGGAAGAGAACATGGACAAATAGTCTTGATTAACAGATGGATTTGTGGGTGATCTCTTCATCTTGTAAACTGTTGTTTTACTTATGTTTACAACAAAGAAGAAATACTCTAAATTCTTTGGAGCAAACTTAATATAGAAAAGACATAGAATTTCTACCTCTTTGTCTTGAATGTTAGGGTCTGCATTGTTTTCCATGAGAACTGCCATGCAGTTGATATAGCCTCCATATGCAGCACACTGCAAAGGGGTTCTTCCTGCATAATCCTGAACATTTGGATTGATCTTATTTTCTATTAATATTTGGCAAACATCAGCATTTCCTCCCAGTGCTGCCCAATGTAGAAGAGAATGTCCGTCTTGGTCAACTAGATCTACTCTTGCTCCACCTAGAAAAGCACAAATATAATGAAAATGTCTAATAGAAATAGCATTTATTAAAATGAATAGAAGTAAAAAAACCACAATTCTTCCTTAAATGCATTTATTAAAATGAATAGAAGTAAAATAATAAGAATTGTTCCTTAAATGCTTTATTCTTGTGGAAATGCTTCCACATACATTGTCTACTTCAGATTTTCACAATAAGCTTATAAATTGGACTGGCTAGGAATCACTCCCCCTTTATATAAAATAAAATTGAGGATCAGGCAGGTGAAGTGACTTTTCCTATATCAAGCAACTCCCAACAAGTGGAGCTGGGAGTAGAACTTGAGGTTCCTCACGCCATGTTGGGTGATCACCCCTTCATCCTTGTACTTGTGCAGCTTTCTGGTAAGGAAAGCTTTATCTCAAACAGAGTATGCAAGAATTCCTACCTGTTAAGAGAGACTTATTAGGAGTACCGTTATTAACCCACCTTTAATGAGTGTCTGAATCACATCTTTGTGTCCCATCTCACAGGCTCGGAAAAGTGGAGTATGTTTCATAACGTCAGTAGCATCCACTTGAGCGTTATTTTCCAGTAATAACTTCACGGTGCTGACATGGCCAGAAAGGGCAGCAGCATGCAAAGCTAAAAGGGAACCAAAAGAAAGTGATGAATTAGTCAATAACAACTTCACCTTTTAAATTATTATATGTCCTTTCTTCTCTTGATTTCCCCATCATTTTGAATAAACGCAAACTCAATTTTAAGGATTCCCTAATTTATTTTTTGCTTTTTTAGATTGTGCCTTCCTCCCTATGCATATGTATCACTCACACTTTCCCCTTTCCTTCTACCTTTCTCTTCTTGCTATTTTCTTCCTTTCCATCCTGTTGGTCTGAAATGGTATCCTCTTCTAAGCTACTAGTTTTCTCTTATCAGCTATTAGTTTTCTCTTTTTCTCTTTCAAGACAGCAAGAAAACAATACAAAGAGAAATGATTTAAATGATGTACACAATTCTGCCCAACAACCCACTCAATAAGCACATGTCCCTAAGGGATCATGTGACTGGAGACATCAATAGACTGTTCCTTCCATTGGTTAAAAGTGCTGTTCCTTCAATTGGCTTGTGTACCCCAGTGGTACTGAAAAGCATGTACATCTTGCTGCATTGAGTGCATTTTTAATACAATATCACTCCAAATACAAGCCAGCTACTTCCCCAGGGCTCAATTTAAGAAACAGCGAGGTGGCACATGTCTATAGTCCCAGCTACTTGGGAGGCTGAGGCAGGAGGACTGCTTGAACCCAAGAGGTCCAGACCAGTCTGGAGAAAATAGGAAGACCTCATCTCAAAAAAAGAAAAGAAAAGAAACAGGAATTTGCCTCACTGGAGAAAAACTGAGATGGAATATGGCCTCCTCTCTTGTGCCTTCCAGAGGTTTTAAAGAGTAATTTTGATTAAATGTGTTTCATGTTACACTGACTCCTGCCTATGTTACTCCACTGTAATGCTTGGCTTATGTCATCCCTCTATAGGTTTGAATTAGCCAAAATAACACTTCAGATGCCTGGGCCAGTTCGAAGTATTATGGCTCTATAAGGCCTAGAACAGCGTCTTTTTCATAAAGGGTGATCCATGGAGCAAACCTGGGATGCAGATTTTTGGGCTGAGTAGTAGTATAATGCTGGATGTTTAGCATGGAATACAATAGATACGGTTACATTCTAGGAAGGAAAGCAAAACAAAACAATTCTCCATCAATAAAGTATTATACAATGATAATTGGTATAATTAAAGTAATAAAAACTGTTTTGATATGTAGAATCACTGAGGGACTACTTTTGATTGGTGGTTACAGATAGCTTTGCGTAAGAGTGGATGTTTAAGCTGAGAACTGAACCATGAAAAAGACAGAGTGAGACTCTGTATCAAAAAATAAAATAAAAAATAAAATAAAATAAAAATAACCTTGAACTTAACTATTGTTACTCCCACTTTGAAAAGTGGTGCACGTTTCTATAGAAACTTATTTTTTTAATGTAATTTTATATTATGGAAACCTTCAAACATATTCAAAAGTAGACAATGGTTCAGTGAACTCAATATAGCTATCACCCAGCTTCAACAATTATCAATACATGGCTAATCTTGTTTTATTTATTTATTGAGCAAAGGAAGAGTTAGTACAGGACAGGAACGACTGTGTGTGTTTAAGGAAGGAAGGGTAGTTGCAGCACAGTAAGTGACAGTGGAGTAAGTCAGAAAGGTAGAAAAGGCCAGATCACAAATGATCCTATCGGCCAGTGATGGAAGACATTTGAAGGGCTTTATGTAGTGGAGTGATATTATCTGATTTATGCTTTAAACAGATGACTCTAGCTGTTCTGAGGAGAATGTATTTGTAGTAGATTAAAATATAAGCAGGGAGACCAGTAAACATTTCAGCAGTAGACTGAGTGAAAAATGATGGTGGTCTGACTAGGGTGGTTGGAATGGAGATGGAGAGAAACAGAATGATTTAGAACATGTTTTGGAGGTGGAGTCAACAGGACTTGCTACAGGATTTGACATAGAATCTCTGTCCATGTAGCCTGGGAATCTGAATTTAAACAAACACCTCTAGTAATTCTTATGCCATTCTTGAATTTGGGAACCATTGACCTAAATGGCTAAATGTTAGTTTGACCTAGACAAGATTCAGACAGGCATGAGTAACTTCAAATATCTGAAGTGCTATCACATGGAAGACAGCACAGGGTAGAACATTCAGTTTGACAAATTTTGGCTCAGTATAAGGAAGAACATTCTAATGGAGTTAAGATGGCAGTAGTGGGTTTTCTATATTGGAGCTGTTCAACAAGAGGCTGAAAGACCACTGCTGAGAATATCATAAAGCAGATGAAAGCATCATATAATATCTGTGATATTTCAGTGATTTCACATGTTAAGAGCGTAAGAACCCTTTTCCCCCAAATGGAAATTTATAAAACACCTAATATATAAAACAAGTAAGAGTTGAGTGGTTCTGACTAAATCAGAAGTGGAGCATTACCCACTCCACTGTCTATTCCCTCAGCTAAGTATTTCAGGTACCTCTATAGAAAACTGTTGTTATGAAGAACATGGTTTGGAAAACCCTGGGCTAGATTTAGTTTTAAGGTGACTTCTAATTCTGAAATGCTACAATTCTGTGATGTGGCATCCAGTATGAAATATACTCTACAGATAACATCAATATCAAATTTTTTAAAAAGATAAAATTTCAGTTAAGTAACAGTTAAAATTAATGATCATATTAAAAGAAATTCCCCATTTATAACTATTTTTGAATTTACTTTATATTTATTTATTTATTTGAGACAGAGTCTCACTCTGTTGCCCAAGCTGGAGTGTAGTGGCATGATCTTGGCTCACTGCAACCTCCACCTCCCGGGTTCAAGTGATTCTCCTGTCTCAGCCTCCCGAGTAGCTGGGACTACAGATGCCCACCACTATGCCCGGCTAATTTTTGTATTTTTAATACAGGCGGGGTTTCACCATGTTGGCCAGGCTGGTCTCGAACTCCTGACCTCAAATGATCTACCCACCTCGGCCTCCCAAAGTGCTGGGATTACAGGCGTGAGCCACTGCGCCTGGCCTGAATTTTCTTTATTTAAAAATAACCTTAGGTCAAGCATTACTCCTTCTTTGAAAAGTACTGCAAGTTTATATAGAAACTTAATTTTTTAAAAATGTAACTTTATATTACGGAAACCTTCAAACATATTCAAAAGCAGACAATTGTCCAGTGAACTCAATATAGCTATCACCCAGCTTCAACAATTATCAGTACATGGCTAATCTTGTTTTATTTAACCACGATTCATTTCCTCTACTTCTGACTGTTTTGAAAAAAATTCTAGAGTCATATCCTTTCATCTGTAAATATTTTAGTATCTTTGAAAAACAAGGATTCTTTTTTTAAACACTTCACTGTATCAGTTAGGACCCAGTCAGAAGACGGAAACCATACCAGATATAATAGATGGAATTCAGTATAAATAATTGCTGGCTTTGTATTGAAGAAATGAAAAGGCAGAAAGAAAACACTAAGGTACCACGGGGGTAGCAAATGCAAGAAATAGCTACCAATCCTGGCACTGGGAGTACATAAAGAAGAGAATGAAATTACTGAAACCTAAAAGCTTAGAAGAGCCCTGAAGAATGAAAACTCAACCTCTGAGGAATGGCTCTGCTTGGCTGGTGCTGTTGTGTCTGACAAGGGTGTGCTGAGGCTGACACTGTGAATGTTGGAAACCTGCAGAGTGAAATTACTGTGTTGAAGAAGCATTACTAGGGTGATGCTGACCATAGCAGAAAATAAAAACAACAACAGGCCGGACGAGGTGGCTCACACCTGTAATCCAAGCACTTTGGGAAGCTGAGGTGGGAGGATTGCTTGAGCCCAGGAGTTTGAGATCAGCCTGGGCAACATAGTGAGATCCCATCTATTACTATTATTATTATTATTATTATTTTTTTTCCTAAAAAAAGAAAACAAGAAAAAAGCAAGAGCAGGACGCAAACAGAAAGATGTAATCCCTTGTCCCTCTTCCAGTCTTCCAGTCTCCCTCCAATGCTCCCTGTTGGTGGACTCTAAAAGAGCACCTGTGGCAAAGGGGAAATGTGATTTGCAGAGCCCCAGGCCCAGCGCTGCAAAGAAAGGACAAAAGGATAAACACGAAGCTGAGAGACAATAGTTTGATCACTGGTAAAACCATAATGCTGTTATCACACCTAAAAAATACTAACAGAAATTCTGTAATGTTCAATAATATTGACATTTTCCTGATGGCTGTAACATTTTTTATAGTTTATTTATTTGAGTCAGGATCCAAATAATGTCCATATATTGCTATTGGTAACACCTCTTTTTAATGGGAAGGGAAAAAAAATCCTTGTAGAGGGATGATAGAGAAGAACTCACTTTCACAGAAAAGAAATGTCAGGAAGGCATCTCTGACATAATAAAATCCCCACAGAAGAAAGAAACCAGCAAATTAATGAATCTGAGAAGAATTTATGTCTGAACTTCAACCATGGTGCATATGAGAAAGATACTTCTGGTCAAAGAGTGCAAGTATCCTTGCCCATACCTTATTCAAATACCTGAAAAAGTTATAAACTAAAATCAAAGCTAGTGATAAAGTGGAAGAATATATAATGGAAATCTGACAAAAAATTAAATGTTCAGATCATTTATAAAGTCAACATCCTATGTGTCTGCACTATGCCCCTTAAGAAATTTAAGATCTGCTGGCTGGGCATGGTGGCTCACACCCGTAATCCCAGCACTTTGGGAGGCTGAGGCAGGTAGATTGCTTGAGCTCAGAAGTTCGAGACCACCCTGGGCAACACAGTGAAACCCCGTTTCTACTAAAATACAAAAAGAAAAAAAAATTAGCCGGGTTTGGTGGCATGCGCCTATAGTCCCAGCTAGTTGGGAGGCTGAGGCAGGAGACTTGCTTGAACTTGGGAGGCAGAGGTTGCAGTGAGCCAAGATCATGCCACTGCACTCCTAGCCTGGGTGACAGAGTGAGACTCCATTTCAAAAAAAAAGAAATTTAAGATCTGCTGTAAGGCTTTGATAGATAAATACTTTTGAAAGTTAAAGTCTTTATCATAAAATTGAATTGTCTTCTTAAAATATTTTTTTTGAGGCTGCGGTTGTCTTCGTATAGGGGAGCAGATTTTAAGTAAAGCAACTCCCCTCCCTTCTCTCTCCCTACTGTTGCATCAATAGTTTTGGTGGCCAAGAAAAATCTTTTTCAGGATAACAGTAGATGCAAATGGCTCTAGCATGTTTCTACAAATAAAAAAACATAACGTGGAGAAGCCCATCACTGATTTTTTATTCTATTCAGTGCTATTGTAGTAGTATGTAATTTCTCCTTCTCTTTCTGAGTTGTAAGTAGGATACAGTACACAAGGAAGAGACCTCCAAGTTGACACTGAGGCTGAAAAGCTTTACCTTTCATTAACCAACACATAGGTAAAGGCCTCTCCTATTAGAGAAAGAAATTAAAATAAGCATCTAGTAAGAGTTTTTCAAGCAAGGTTGATTTGAAGCTTGGAAGCTTCTAGAGCCATGGGGGGTTATCTCCAAAAATGGGAGATTCAGGATGTGGTAATGCTATTCAAACCTGAGAAAAGAGCACAGTAAAGGAGACTGCTGAGAATACACTTAGATGTGTGCATTCCTTAAATATAATTCTAAATTTTTGAAAATATAATTATTGACAATTAAATATGGATAGTTTTAAAGTATAGGTTTTGTTTTTTTTACAAAAAGATAAATGATCAGAAGAGTCCCCATAATCATGTCTAAGGAGCAACCAAATGCAACCATTCATTTGGTAGAAACATATTTTAATCTTAGCCATAATACTGAAGAAATAAAGCCTTTGGAGTGATATTCTGGCAAACCCAAACTTAAAACTGAAGACCAAAGTCAAACAATATTAGATTAGGAACAAAGATTTCAAGTTGCTATTTTACAAGTTTTATAGCAACGTCTACACTTTGGAACCTGAGTGAAAGCAAATTGAATGTGTCTACCAGTTCTCACCTGTACCTCCATATTTGTCAGCCATGTTAATATCAATGTCCGATTTTAAACTCAGCATAGTCCTAAGGACATCATCACTGCCTTTGCCAGCTGCCCACATAAAGGATGTTCTTCCTTCTAGGTCTGAATCATCTTTCACTGAAGGATGTTTTAAAAACACTTTAACTGTTTCCTGTAAGAAAACTTGATTTAAAAAATGGAGACAAAACAGTAGTATTTTCTATGGTAATAAAGTCATATAATAATATGTGACTTCCATTAAGAAGCAAAGCATTTTCCCCTTGCTTTTGAATTAAATTAAATTATCTTTTTATTAATGACAGAACTACAATTTTCATCGAAGATAACAATCCTCTGTCCTTACAAATTAGTTGTAGTGTCCGTAACACTTCACAAACATAACCTAACTCTCCCATTCAACATCCTCAGAATGGAAAGTAATCATCTTCAATCAAGCTTGGAAACTTTATAGGTCATTGTTTGAGTGACAGTTGCAAAACTCAGAATTATTCAGTGTTTTATTTATTAATGAACAAAATTTAAATATTTTCTTTCTTTCTATTTCTCTCTTCTCTCTTCCCTTCTCTTCTCTTCCCTCCCTCCCTCCCTCCCTCCTTTCTTTCTTTCCTTCCTTCCTTCCTTCCTTCCTTCCTTCCTTCCTTCCTTCGCGCGCTCTCTCTCTCTCTCTCTTTCTTTCTTTCGGGAGTCTCACTCTGTTGCCCAGGTTGGAGTGCAGTGGTGCAACCTCGGCTCACTGCAACCTCCACCTCTTGCATTCAAGCAATTCTCCTGCCTTAGCCTCCTGAGTAGCTGAGTGTCACCACACCTGGTTAATTTTTGTATTATTAGTAGAGATGGGGTTTTACCATGTTGGCCCAGCTGGTCTTGAACTCCTGACCTCAAGTGATCCATCCATCTTGGCCTCCCAAAGTGCTGGAATTACAGGCATGAACCACTGTACCCGGCCATAAAACACATGTTTTCTTGGGCATTTTACATGAGACCCATCTATTCAGGCATGCCTCCAGAGAAGGTTCTGCATTCTCTCACTGTGTTTTTTGTTTGTTTGCTTTTGCCTTAAATCCAGGAACAAACTGGAATTATGTGATTAGTTACTAAACATTTTTTAAATGGTTAATGCATTTATTGAATTCTGATTGATGGTTACTGAGAAATGCAGTGCTCAATTCATTAAAACAAATATTTATTCAGCAATTCCTTTATTACTGAATTGTCCTTCTTCTATGGAATCACACAAAAATTAGGACTGGCCCGTATGTGGTGGCTCACGCCTGTAATCCCTGCACTTTGGGAGGCCGAGGCGGGCGGATCACAAGGTCAGGAGATTGAGAGCATCCTGGCCAACACGGTGAAACCCTGTCTCTACTAAAATATAACAAAATTAGCCAGGCACGGTGGCACGTGCCTGTAGTCCCAGCTACTTGGGAGGCTGAGGCACGGCAATTGATTGAACTTGGGAGACGGAGGTTGCAGTGAGCAGAGATCACATCCTTGCACTCCAGCCTGGGCAACAGAGTGAGACTCCATCTCAAATAAAAACAAAAACAAAACCAAAAAAAACACCAAAAACAACAACAACAAAAAATTAGGACCTTTGACAATTCTATTAGTGCCTCACAATTTTAATGGGGGTTAATATTCCAGCATTTTAAATTGCTTCTTTCCTCAGAACTCAGACTCATATAAACTTTTAGAAAGACCATAGAAACTTTTGATTGAATTGAGGTAAAAGAGTTTCAGACAAAAAATGCTGGAAGCTATGAGCTGATGAAAAATGTATAAAATGTTGACTCTCAGTATTTTACAGAAAGAACAATTCAAGAGCTCATCTAATCCAGTTCCTTATTTTACAGATGAAGAAATTTAGGTTCCAAGGTCATATAAATATTGGTGGCAGATAAAGGAAGAATCCAGGGTTAAATAACAGCACTCCTTCCACAGCATCACACACTGCTTTCTACTTTTAAGACTATTTGTTGAGTTACTGAGGTATAATAACTTACTGTTCCTAAAGTCTAATGTATATGCTTATTAGGCATATTAAATATATTTGAGTCAAGAAATGAATTTTAAAAGTTTGTGATTTTTTGCTTTGTTTTCTTTTACTAATTTGCAAACATTTCTTTGCTGAGTATGTTTTTACTTAATGATGAATGTTTACGGGGCTCTGTATGTGTAGGGGAATGTGTCCATATTTTTCAAGGAGCGAGTTGTAATTTCTCGTCAGTTATTAGATGACAATGAGATCAAGGGACTTGAAACTGAGCTTACATAATTTGTATAATTATTAAAAATCAACTCTGGAATTGGCAGATTATCCAACAAAATATTTCTTTGAATAACATTATTATATCATATTACTGAATCATCATAAAGAATAATGTTCTACCATTCTTTCTTGTTTCCATTAGCACACCTATTTGATTATTGGTGTCTGTATATATTTTAAATTTGGAGTCTAAGTTTTGGGTTAAAGCCCATAAGCAAGTCATTTAATCTCATGGAACCTTGCTTTGTTTTGTTTTGTTTTCTATAAACAGGGGATAACATATCTAAGAGCCTTGTGTTGATTTATGGGTTGAGCTGTGATTTCCATAGATTGACTAGGCTGGGTCAAGTTAATTTCCTATCTATTTGTAATAAAAAAAACCTTCTCCAAAAATACTGCTTTGTTAGGTGATAACAGATAATGATTTGTCAAACCTCTAGGTGGTAAATTGAATAAGTTGTTAGGAATACCAAGAAGCAAGGATTAGAGGAATAGTTGTTCCGGATACCAGAGTCGGGAAGGGTGTGAAGATAAGATATTTTAGAGATCTGAGTATTTAACAGAGCATTTGGAGAGGTCACAAAGATGAAATTATACTATGCTTGATGATAGTATTATTTATTTATTTATTTATTTATTTTTGAGATGAAGTCTTGCTCTGTCACCCAGGCTGGAGTGCAGTGGCACTATCTTGGCTCACTGCAACCTCCGCCTCCCAGGTTCAAGCGATTCTCCTCCCTCAGCCTCCCAAGTAGCTGGGACTACAGGCACCAGCCACCTTGCCCGGCTAATTTTTGTATTTTTAGTAGAAACAGTGTTTCCGCCATGTTGGCCAGGTTGTTCTCCAACTCCAGACCTTAGGTGATCTGCCCATCTTGGCCTCCCAAAGTGCTGGGATTACAGGCGTGAGCTACCATGCCTGACCTGATAGTATTATTATAATTTAATGAAACTAAGGGTTTCACTATGCATATCCATGTAGAAGGCAGCAAAATCTGTTTTAACGTGTGCATTCTTGGATGAATCTGGTTCTTGATGGCCATTCATACTCAGGAAGCTGAAGTAGCCTAGACACTATCATGTTGCGGAGTGGACTGGGGACATAATGGATGAGAAAGGGGAGGGGAAGAAATATGAATAATATTCAGTATTTTTGGAAATAATTCATTTTTGCATTCTCAGATGTATAATATACATAATTATCAACACTAGTAGTAATGAGAGTACATTCTATTTCTTGAGTACGTGCTCTATGCCAAGGTATACAGCAGGCACTTGTCATAAATTTTCTCTAATCTTTACAACAATCCTGAAAAAAAAGGTATAATTATCCTCATCTTACCTATGAAGAAACTAAGATTAAGAAACTTGTGTAAGGTAATAATGCAGTTTAGGAAACTGCACAGACAGGATTCTAGCTGAGATTGTTCTAGTTCCAAAGCCTTGCCACACTGCTTTAAGGACAATTACACATGGCTGAACACTAAGATGTTCTTAGTGCTATAAAAGTAATACAAAGATGAAGTACTCTTACTGTAAAGTAAAATGTTACGCTTAACATTAAAATAAAAACTGTATAAAACTTCAGATGTGACTAACAAAAAAAACAAAAAAAACCTTAGACTATCACTTGCATCACAGAGTGAACAGCATGAACCATTGTTAAAAGGTAATTGATATATAAAAACAGACAAATGAGTCTAAGTAAATCTGGGAAAAGCTGAATAAGATCAGTGGATTGTATCAGTGTCAATTTCCTGTTTATGATATTGTATTGGATGTTACTGTTAGAGTGAATTAGGTGTAGGAGTGCAAAAAGCTTACTGGAAAAATAAAGAAAAAAAAAGAGTGAACTAGGTGAAGGGTACATGAAATCTTGTTGTATTATTTCCTACAACTACATATGAATCTATGATTATATAAAAATAAAAATTTTCACTAAGAAAAAAAGAGCATTGTCTTGTTTTACTCACAGCAAAGTTACTCTGAGCAGCATAGTGCAAAGGTGTGGCTCCTTGGCTGTCAGATGGGATAGTTCCAGACTTATTTCTTTCTAAAAGGAGATGGACAATCTGTGCATGGCCTGAGAAAAGACACAAAAAGGTAATTATCACTTATAAAGGACGTTAATTAATTTATAATCTACTTAAATTAAAAAGGTAAGAAAATTCACTGACACACAATACAGCATTCACAGTGGTTTCTGAACAGCAGCCCCCAATGCAGCCTCTTCTAACTTCTCACTAACATATTAATATGAGGTAGAACAGAATGAAAACTTACTAAAAACTTAATGCTTCAATAGGAATGAATTAAGTATGCTTGTCAGACTGAGAAAAAACTATATTAGGCATCACCTCATCGCATTCCCTTCACTTTATAAAGCTGCCTAAAGCAAAGGAGGGGAAGTTGCTTTAGAACCAAGCCCTCTTAGCCTTCACTGCTCCTACTCTCAAGGTTCCATTGCCCAACCAAACAGAACTGCATAGCTGTTGTTTTCTATTCAGGTGGACAAACTATAATACAACCTCTTCTATCTCTGAGGCCTCCCATCCCTATATTCTCCTTCCACAATCTTTTATTATATTTATATTTTATAACATCTAGGCAGTGATTTCAAATCTCAGAAAACAAGTGGGCAGGCATGATGAGGCAGCAATGAAGACAATATAGTGCATTCTGGTGGATGTGATCTCCACAAGTGAAGAGCTGTAGAAAATACTAAAAAATGAACAAACCTGGTAGTAGTATATATAGGAAACCTGAAATTTTATATACTCTATTGCTTTCAGATATTGGAGAATGAAGAAGATGCCCCATTAGCAGAGCAAGGATATACTGCTTAAAAGCCAGGCAGAAAAAAGTAATTTGAGTGGAAGTTGTGCTCATCTATCTGCTCTCCAGAAGTGGTCTAAGATGGAGTTCTCCATAATATAAATGTGGGATCAAAGACAATCTGTGCCACATAGTTACTCTAAACACATTTCATTTTGTTTGAGAAATAAAGGGAAAAATTCAGTAAAGACTACATAAAAACATACTACAGGAAAGTGAAAAAGAAGCACTGTCAGAAAGATAAACAGCATACCTCTGAAAATGATCTAGAGAAGGATCCAGAGGAAAATTTCAGGAAACTGGTATCCTCGACTTAGTGCAAAAAGAGATGGCTTCTACGAAACAGAAACAGGGTATTCTAAGAAGAAAACAGAGTGAAATGAAAAAGTAATGGAAGGAAGTTAAAAGGAAATGAAATGAGATAAAAAGAAATATAGGTAAGACAAGGAAATAAAAATATAACCCAAAATACAATCTATATAGGAGGCAGAAAGAAAGCAAAACTTACAGAACAAAAAGTCAATTTAGTTATGTGGAGACAAATTTGCCAAGTAAGCCCAGAATCCAGAGGAAAAAGAAAAAGGGATGTAAGATGAAATCTGACTAATAATTATAAATCTGGCAATAAAAGTGGGTGCACACATAAACACCATTTTTTTAAAAAAGATAACGTGTAATTTAAAAATTAAGATCAAGATTATAATAATTAGGGGGAAAATCTCAGATCATATTAACAAGTACTAAAAGAGTGATGAGTATCTGTGCTAAATTTTTTGTCTTAAATAGGTGGGAGTCAATAGACGCATTTTTGCTCTTGACTCTGATTCAGGCTTTAAAAAGTTTTTGATAAATTTAAAAGTAACCACTAATAGAACATAAATCCTTCTAAAACATTAGGCAATTCAAAACCAAATAACAACAACAAATCTAATCCATATACCAAAGAGTAGAAAGTAAAGGAAACAGGAAACAAAATAAAACAAACAAACAAACAAAAAATGTTAAACTGAAAACACTAATAATACCAGGACAGCAGGAAAAAAAAGTCCTGATTATTTATCTTATAACAATGACTACTAATGGGTAAAACTCCTTCAATGAAAGAGAAAGACTCTCAGATTGACTCCACACACAAAAAAATCCAACATACACATAAAACATACACATATATACACTCTCTCATCTATAAAAGTGATCTTCAAAAAGGTTAAGTAAAAGGCATTTCAGGAAAACATAAAGAAAACAACTCAAATATCATAGTATTAGCACAAACATAAAATTAAAGCCCTCCTCCCCAAAAATATAGGCGCTGAATATGAAAAGAGGTTTATGTTACATTTACATGTTGTCAATAAACATGAATTACTTTTATAAAAAAAATTTAAAGTTAAGACATGTTGAAATTAAAACTAATATTTAACAGAAAATAAATTTATATTACTATAATTTAGTTTATAAAACAATGCAACATATCAGTTAGAAATCAAAATAATTAACTAAGAGTTGGGAGCGAACAGTGGAAGGGAAGGCATAGAAATATTCCTATGCTCATGCAGTTTCATCTACTGTTGATCCTTTGAGTCACATACCTAATAAAGCTGCCCAGTGCAGTGGGGTTCGAAATAAGTTATCATAAGACGTTATATTGCAGCTTTCATATGAGGTCAAGACATCAACCACGGTCACATTCCCATCAGCAACTGCAAAGTGAAGAGGAGTTCGACCCTCGTAGTCTTGCCAGTTCAGTAAAGACTCCGTTGGAGCAGCATCCTGATTTGAAGGAAGCAGAGACTTCAGACATACATGGAATCCTCAATAAATTACATTTGGTGTAAGTATTTTTTTCTTTCTTTCTTTCTTAGAGACAGGGTCTCATTCTGTCACCCAGGTTGGAGTACAGTGGCATGATCACAGCTCACTGCACCCTCAAACTCCTGGGCTCAAGCAATCCTCCTGTCTCAGCTTCCCAAGTAGCTGGGACTACAGGCACACCCCACCACACCTGGCTAATTTTTGTGATTTTTGTAGAGATGGGGTTTTGCCATGTTGCTCAGGCTGGTCTTTAATTCCTGGGCTCAAGCAATTCTTCTACCTCAGCCTCCCAAAATGCTGGGATTATGGTGTGAGTCACTGTGCCCAGCCTGGCACAAGAATTAACTGAGGAATTTTCGAAATAAGATCTCTACATTCTCTCTCAGCACAAGTGATAAATCATGGAAAAAGTACAAAGTCTAAATCTTTAAAAAATTATTTTCATATTTAATTATAAAAAGTACAGAAAAGAATATAACCATTACATACTGATTATCTAGATTAAAAAGGTGTCAACATTTTGCCTGATATGCTTTTGTTTCTGTTATGGTTCAACTAGAGATGTATGTTTTATACTTTTGTATATATGTATGTATCCATAAACAATACATAAATTTTGTATGCGTGTTTTCAATATTCACATTATGGCAATGGACCTGTATCCTTTGGAAATTCTTTCTTTCAACACTATACTTTGGATATCTATGTTGGTACTAGTTTAGTTATTGAGGTGCTTGAATAAACCACGATTTAGTCATCTATTTTCCTATTGAGGGACATTTAGGCTATTCTCATTTTTTTCCACTACTACAGATAATGCTGCAATTAATGTTTCCTTTACATGTCACTTGTAGCACATGTGTGAGATTTTTCCACAGGCTAGATACCTAGAAGGGGAACTGCTGGGGTGAAGGATAACTTCAAATACTTTCAAATTGTCACATCACTCTCCAAATGGTCTTACCAATTAACACTGCCATGACAATATGTAAAAGTTTTTATTTCCCTACATGCTGGCACAAATTAATCATTTGGTATTATCAAGCCTACTGCATTTTTCCCTTATGGTTATGAAAGACATTTCACTGCTATTTTAACTTGCAGTTCATTTATGAATGGGGTTGAGATTTTTCAATCATGTGTTTATTAGTGATTCAGTTTGATATGTCTGTAAATGGACAGTTCAAAACGTTAATTAATTTTTCGACTGGATCTCTGTAGCAGGCATTATGAAAATTACCAGGCAGATTTGAAAAGGAACCAAACAGAACTTTTAGAAGTGAAAAATTTAATCACTAAGATTAAAGGTTCAATGGATAGGGTAAACAACAGGTTGGACTTACTTGAAGACTTAGAAAACTGGAAGAGAGATCTGATGTTATTACCCAGAATGCAGCAGAAAGAGACAAGGAGATGAGAATATAAAAGAGAAGTTAAAAGACATGGAGGATTAGATAAAATGCCTTAAAATATATATAATTGGAGACCCTAAAGGCAAGAGTAAAGAGAATGAAGGAGAGGTGATATTTAAGGATAACAGCTATACATGTTTGACAGAACTGAGATACAATAATTAGAATGTATACCAAACAGGATTTTTTAAAAAGGTCACACCTAGACACACTGTAGTAAAACTGTAGAATGCCAAACAAAGAGTAAAATGTAAAAGCAGCCTGAGAGAAAAGATACATCATGCATAAAGAAATGACATACCAATAACAGACTCCTTAAGAGCAATAATAAAAGGCAGAAAGTAGCAAAATACTATGCTGAAAGAGCTGAGAAAAATAGATTCCCAGGACTATGTATACAGGATAATCTTTTTTTTTTTCAAGAGGCATACATTCTTAACAATTAAAAAGAGAGAGCTGGCTGGGGGTTGTGGCTCACGCCTGTAATCCCAGCACTTTGGGAGGCTGAGGCAGGTGGATCACTTGAGGCCAAGAGTTCGAAACCATTCTGGCCAACATGGTGAAACTCTGTCTCTACTAAAAATATAAAAATTATCTGTGCAGTGTGGCGTGCGCCTGTAGTCCCAGCTACTCAGGAGGATGAGGCAGGAGAATCACTTGAATCCAGGATGCGGAGGTTGCAGTGAGCTGAGATCACACCACTGCACTCCAGCCTGTGACAGCACAAGGCTCTGTCCCAAAAAAACAAAAAACTAAAAACAAACAAACAAACAAAACCAGAGACAGTTGACCACCGAAAGATCTATACTAAAGAGAGTCAAGAGGATAACTCAGCAAGATGGCTGAATAGGAACAGCTCTGGTCTGCAGCTCCCAGTGAGGCCAACGCAGAAGGTGGGTGATTTGTGCATTTCTAACTGTGGTGCCCAGTTCATCTCATTGGGACTGGTTAGACAGTGGGTGCAGCCCACAGATGGTGAGCAGAAGCAGGGTAGGGCGCTGCCTCACCTGGGAAGTGCAAAGTATCAGGGAACTCCCTCCCCTAGTCAAGGGAAGCCGTGAAGGACAGTGCCATAAAGGACTGTGCTATCCAGCCCAGATACTACACTTTTTTCATGGTGTTTGGAACCAGCAGACTAGGAGATTCCCTAGGGTGCCTACAGCACCAGGGCCCTGGGTTTCAAGCACCAAACTGGGTGGCCGTTTGGGCAGACACTGAGCTAGCTTCAGGAGTTCTTTTTCATACCCCAGTGGCGCCTGGAACCCCAGGGAGATAAAACTGTTCACTCCTCTGGAAAGGGGGCTGAAGCCAGGGAGCCAAGTGGTTTTGCTCAGCAGGTCCCACCTCCCCGGAGCCCAGAAAGCTAAGATCCACTAGCTTGAAATTCTCACTGTCAGCACAGCAGTGTGAAGTCAACCTGGGATGCCTGAGCTTGGTGGGGGGAGGGGCGTCACCATTACTGAGGCTTGAGTAGGCTGTTTTCCCCTTACAGGGTAAACAAAGCCTCCGGGAAGTTTGAACTGGGCAAAGCCCACCACAGCACGGCAAACCACTATAGCCAGACTGGCTCTCTAATTCTTCCTCTCTGGGCAGGGCATCTCTGAAAGAAAGGCAGCAGTTCCAGTTAGGGGCTTAGAGATAAAACTCCCATCTCCCTGGGACAGAGCACCAGGGAAGGGGTGGCTGTGGGCACAGCTTCAGCAGACTTAAATGTTCCTGCCTGCCTGCTCTGAAGAAAGCAGCAGATCTCCCAACAGAGTGCTCGAGCTCTGCTAAGGGAAAGACTGCCTCCTCAAGTGGGTCCCTGACCCCTGTGCCTCCTCTCTGAGAGACACCTTCCAGCAGGGGTCAGCAGACACCTCAGAGAGGAAAGCCCTGGCTGGAATCGAGCAGGTGCCCCTCTGGGACGAAGCTTCCAGAGGAAAGAACAGGCAGCAATCTTTACTGTTCTGCAGCCTCTGCTGGTGATACCCATGCAAACAGGGTCTGGAGTGGACTTCCAGTGAACTCCAGCAGACCTCTAGAAGAGAGGAAAACTAACAAACAGAAAGCAATAACATTAACATCAACAAAAAGCATACCCACACAAAAATCCCATCCAAAGGTCATCAGCATCAAAGATCAAAGGTAGATAAATCCATGAAGATGAGGGAAAATCTGTGCAAAAATGCTGAAAATTCCAAAAACCAGAATGCCTCTTCTCCTCCAAAAGATCACAAGTCCTTGCCAGCAAGGGAACAAAAATGGACAGAGAATGAGTTTGAGGAATTGACAGAAGCAGGCTTCAGAAGGTGGGTAATAACAAACTCCTCCAAGCTAAAGGAGCATGTTCTAACCCAATGCAAGCAAGCTAAGAACCTTGATAAAAGATTATAGGAACTGCTAACTAGAATATTCGTTTTGTATAAGAACATAAATGACCTGATGGAACTGAAAAACACAGCACGAGTACTTCGTGAAGCATACACAAGTATCAATAGCCGAATCGATCAAGTGGAGGAAAGGATATCAGAAATTGAAGATCAACTTAATGAAATAAAGCATGAAGACAAGGTTAGAGAAAAAAGAATGAAAAGGAATGAACAAAGCCTCCAAGAAATATGGGACTATGTGAAAAGATCAAACCTACGTTGGTGTACCTGAAAGTGATGAGGAGAATGGAACCAAGTTGGAAAACACAATTGAGGATATTATACAGGAGAACTTCCCCAATCTAGCAAGACAGGCCAACATCCAAATTCAGGAAACACAGAGAACACCACTAAGATACTCCTCAAGAAGAGCAACCCCAAGATACATAATCATCAGATTCACCAAGGTTCAAATGAAGAAAAAACATGTTAAGCGCAGCCAGAGAGAAAGATCAGGTTACCTTGAAAGGGAAACCCATCAGACTAACAGCGGATCTCTCTGCAGAAACCCTACAAGCCAGAAGAGAGTGGGGGTCAATATTCAACATTCTTAAAGAAAAGAATTTTCAACTCAGAATTTCATATCCAGCCAAACTAAGTTTCATAAGTGCAGGAGAAATAAAATCCTATACAGATAAGCACATGCTGAGGGATTTTTGTCACCACCAGGCCTGCCTCACAAGAGCTCCTGAAGGAAGCACTAAATATGGGAAGGAAAACCTGGTACCAGCCACTGCAAAGAGATACCAAAATATAAAGACCAACAATATTATGAAGAAACTATCAACTAATATACAAAATAAGCAGCTAGCATCATGATGACAGGATCAAATTCATACATAACAATATTAATCATAAATGTAAATGGGCTAAATGGTCCAATTAAAACACAAAGGCTGGCAAACTGGATAAAAAGTCAAGACCCACTGGTGTGCTGTATTCAGGAGACCCATCTCATGTGCAAAGACACACGTGTGTGCAAAGACACACATAGGCTTAAAATAAAGGAATGAAGGAAGATTTACCAAGCAAATGGAAAGAAAAAAAAAAGCAGGGGTTGCAATCCTAATCTCTGATAAAACAGACTTTCAACCAACAAAGATCAAAAAGACAAAGAAGGGAATTCCATAAAGGT